ATAAAGACACATAACAATCTAAATATTTCCTTTGGGGGATAGGAGCAAGGGTGGGAGAAATTGGCATGAAAGAAATTAGCATAAAAGAGGGTGGGTTTATTAAAAAAACAACAACAACCTAGATTTGAATTGTAGTCTTATCACCTATCAGTTATATGATTTTAGGCAGGCTGCATAGTCTTTTAGAGTGTGAGCTATCCTATCTGTAAAATGGAAATAATAATGTCTAACTACTCAGAAATCCTGCGAAAATGAAATGTAGGTAATATGAATATGTGTCAGTGGGCGCCTGGGTGACTGTCAGTTAAGCACCCAACTCTTGATCTCAGCTCGGGTCTTGATCTCAGGGTTGTGGGATCAAACCCTGCATTGGGCTCTACGCTGGGCATGGAGCCTACCAAAAAAAAAAAAAAAGAATATGTCAGAGACTGATGAGCCATGCATATCCATTTTATTTTCTTTTCCCCCAGTGCACAGTCTCCCTTGTGGTTAGATATTGACATGTGACTGAGTTCTGGCCAACAGAATAAAGGGGAGAGATGGTTGCCACTTTCCAGACTGGCCTTAAAACATCACTCTCCCCATTCATGGACTGTGTGCAGACAATGTGGAGGCCTTGGAAGAGAGAATCACGAGATGGAAGGAACCTGGGTCCCTGGCTGCCTTCTGGTCAGAAATACTCACTAGGACTTCACGAGAATGAGATGTAAGCTGTTATTTAGATTTGGGACAGTTGGCTTTACCTTCATTTACTTTATATATATATATAAATTATCTGAAATTTACCTTCATTTATTATATCTAATATATAAAATAAATGATATATTTGTCTATCATTTATTTTATATATTATTAATCATCTTATCATTAAAATAGAATATTTTATATAGTATATAATAAAATATAGGCTACATAATAATATAGCTATATTATATGCCTTCATTTTTACACTAAATATTATGACATATAGCATATACAATATATAATATATAACATGCATAGACCCACCCTTTGTGGGAGGGGTTTCAAAGAATTTGTAGACATATTTTATTTTATTTTTTTAAGATTTTTAATTTATTTATCTGACACAGAGAGAGAGAGCGTAAGCAAGGGGAGTGGCAGGCAGAGGGAGAGGGAGAAGCAGGCTCCCCACTGAGCAGGGAGCCGGATGTGGGACTCGATCCCAGGACCCTGGGATCATGACCTGAGCCGAAGGCAGACACTTAACCATATGAGCCACCCAGGTGCCCAGACATATTTTAAAACTACCATGAACCCCTCTTATGCTTTAGGGACACTAAACCCCATCGATCCCCGAATTTGTGGCCATGCTTCTACACACTACCCTCTTCTTGCAATGCCACTGAGACCACAAATTTACCTCCCAAATTTCTACTCACCATTTAAGATTCAGCTTAGATGCCATGTGCATTATAACGTTTTACAGGCCCACATTTGGAAGTCAGTACACCTTCTCTGTTCTGCCCATGGGTCTCTGTTTCAATTTCTCTTAGGTGACCTGAATATATAGTTGTTGACGGATAAATAGAACAGGATAATAAAATCTCAGGTGTGAAAGTGACCTTGCGTGTTACTTAGAGCATCCTTTTCGAGTTTGTTTCTATTCATGTTCTTTTCCCCTCTGAATTTTTACTGTTTTGAAAGTAGGGATGGGGTTTGACTTACCTTCACAACCACTCCCCGCAGCACCCACCCACCGCCAGCCCTCCGGCAGGGCTCTGGCGCAGCAGGCTTTCAGGGAGGGTGAGGGAAATGCACCGGCCTGCCTTCCTCAACACACCCACCCACACACACAGCACACATCACACACACACGCCACACACCACACACACACGCCACACATCACACACACACACCACACACCACACACACACGCCACACACCACACACACACGCCACACACCACACACACACACCACACA